CGCGCTGCCGCCCGCCCGCGGCTTCTCCCTCCCGCTGCAGCGGCCCGCCGAGTGCGGCGACGCCCGCTACTTCGACATCTCCCGCCTGGCCTGCGGGCCCTGCGGAGCCCACCAGCGACAGAGCGCCGACGGTGAGCGACCCGGCCCTGCCGCGCGGGGTTGGGGGGGGGGGGGGGGCGGGGCCGGGCCCGGGGGCCGTGCGGGGCCTCAGGCAGCTCCGTGCTGAAATCCGCTCCCCAGCAGTGGGAGGTGCCAAGCGTGGGCTCAGGTTTTGGCGGTAAAACAGCAGTCCTCAGGGGCGAGGCTGAAAAGGCAGCGAAAAGGGCCGGGATCCCGCAAAGACGTAGGTGGCCACAGCACGACTTTGATACCTGTGCCTGAGATAGATACATCCCAGAGAAACGTCTGCAGACCTTTTTTTATAATCTTTCTTTCCTCGGGCATTTGTATGGTTATAAGTATTCGCATTTTCATCAATAAAATTCCATAGGGCCCTGAATTTATGTTCTCGAACGCTTCTGTGACTTGAAACTCCTTGTCACATCTTGAATGTCTGAGATGTTAAGTACCTGAGATCTTCAAGCTGTGCGCGTGCTAATCCGAATCCCACGTGGGAACCTGGAGGATACACAACACACCTTGACAGTGCAAAATGAAAGATACAGATGGTAGTTTGCTTTCCTTAGGAGTTCAGATGTATAATAGTGTTCATCTTTTATAAATACACAGTCCGAGAGAAGTGGGAGTTCAGTGTTGTGTGTGCAGGAACCAATTCGAGACTAAGACCCAACAGCATCTCCAGAACTGGTTCCTCAGTCAGATGCAGTGATCTGGATGGCTGTGTTCACAACTGCTGCGTAAAAGCTGGTCACCTCTTCCACCACCATCGTGGTATCTTAAAAGAGTAACACCATAGTTTACTTGCAGAAAAAATGCACTGTAATAGTTTTCAGACCCCCTGATAATGTGGGTGTCTAAATCCATAACTCCCTTCTGGGTTTGAATCTTCCTCTAACTCAAGGGCTTCAAGGAAAGATAAATTCTGGGGGGAGGTCAAGGATCTGTTTTTTTCCACAGCATCTGACTGGAGCAGTGTAGGTAGCTGCTACTCAGTCTGCTGTTTGTATCTTGTCTGACTTCCACTTGGGATTGCACAAGTCTGCCCATGCATGCACTCCAGGGTTAGCTGATCACTGTGGATTCTGCTTTCAAGCAACATGCCTAATTGTTTAGGTGTCATCACGGTGAATCTCACAACTCGAATCTCTTCATTGATCTAATCCTATTGGGCTTTTTCTTCTTTATAGTTAAGTATGAATGGTTGATCATTTTGACAAATGTTGTTTCTGTAAAACTAGTCTCATGAGGAGGTACTTTAAGGTTATAAAACTTTTTGCAGAATTTTACATGATTTTTACATGCACAGTTCCATAACCTTAAATAATAATAAATACAACAATAAATAAATTTAAAAATATGGAGAGAGATCCATGATAGTGAGACTGAAAAAAAAGTTGTTGAGCACTAGCAGCTGTGCACTGTGATGGGCCATGAAAGTAGCATTTCATTTCATACTAAATGTTAAGTATGTTCTGTTATTCACTGAAAACCATTCAATATGAAGCTTGATCCCCATGCATAATTTTAAAAGCTTTGAGTTTGAAATAGCTTTACAAATGACAGTTATATTTTGAAAAACCTTTGCCTATAAACATGTTTTGTTTGTAGGACTGACTTTCTATTCAAAGGATAAAAACTGTAGACATACAATGCTGGTGTTGTACAGAGGATGGGCTACGAATGGCACTGTGGCAAGATTTAGAGAGAGAGATTATATCTGTTATTAGACCGACTGATACAGTTTAGTTTAAAAAACCCCACAAAAACACCAGCTCTGGGTTCCTGTTCCGACATGGTATATCAGTCAGCCTAGTAACATTTTCCTAAAACATGTCTGTACAAACTGTAACATGAACACTTTTTAAAAAGCAAGATGATTTTCATGCAACTGTCACTCAGGTGTTTTATTTGTCTATCTAATAATCTATATTGACCTCTTGAGAACAATAGTGGTTGTTCTTAGTATTCTGTGAAAAAAAGTCAGTTTTACATAGATTAAAAACGCCTCTGGGTTTTTTTCAGGTAGTTCATGTGTGTGTCAGCCAGGATACAGGATGGTTTCTAGTAATGGTGGGTCCTCGGTTATTTGTGAAAAATGCCCAGAAAATATGGTAAGTATTGAACTTTTCATACTTTACCATAATAATAGGTGGTTTTTTCAATTTTAAATTTCCTCCTGACTGCACATTATTTTTCATTAATTTAAAATTATTTTGTATAATAATCTTTGCTTGGGAATTTTTAAGACCATGCTTATAGGTAGTAATTTTTTTCTCTTTAGAAGTGCTTATTGCTATTATTTTGCAGGCATTTTTTCATTATAAATTTGACCCCACAGACAAAGTAAGAGTATTTTAAATGTTTAATTTCCTTCCAGCACTTTTCTTTTCTGCTTCATGTTATGTTATCCTTGCCCAGAGACCACTGTTTTATAGAATGCCAAAGATGCTTCTCAGCTCATGGGTATCTTATTTGATTATTTGTATAAATCCTATTATTGTAATATTTAGGCTGTATCTTCATAGTCCCTGATACTTTATCTTTTTACTTCAAAATGAGCTGCTGCTATTATGTTACTTTAATTATATATACCTTTGTAGCTTGGTCAGTTCTTTCTACCTTTCTTGACAAATTAAGCTATATTTCTGGGTCCTATTCACAGTGTTGAGCCAGAGGCACCAGGCTTAACCAGCTTTTTCCCTCTATAGTAAATAGAGAAATAATTTTTCTCCAGCAAAAGCAACTTTTCAGGGTGAAAGCCTTCCTGAATACTTCTTTCTCTCCAATAACTGTAGAATAACTCTCAAGACACCAGCTTAGTTGCATAAGTTAGGTGTTTAATGGCTAATGGGTGATGCAGGTAATCTTCCTCTTTCCATCTTCTTGCTACATTAGACAGAGACATTGACAAATACCTATCGGTGTTTTCATCATTCTGCTTTTTCTTTCTCTTTCCTGTAATGGTGGCATTTGTCTTTGATTCTATGGCAAGGCTTACGCAAAGATAAAATGATGATAGTGGAGAAGAGAATAACATCAGTATCACCTGAGGATGGGCAGTTATCTTCATTTTCCTCACTGGTTTTGATCTGTAGTGCAGCTACTTCATAGTATAGAATAAGTGTGGATATGAGCTGTTTGGGTACATGCAAAATTCCATGCAGTTTTATAAGCTGCTTCACTTAAAACTCCTCCGTTTCCATTATTTCTATATATTTATATGCAAATATGTCTATTGATGCAGTTATGTTTCTTGATATTTTTATTCTGGTGTAGAACCTCTGTATCTTTTTTTAAACCTTCCACTTTTAATCAACTCTTATCTTCACTAAATGGTGTTAGCTAATGGGTTCAGAAAAACTTAAGAACACTTTTTTTTAGCCTACGTCTGCATAGGAATTACTTTTGCCAGATTGTTAAACCTTTTTTATCTTTAAAAGCTTCATGAATGTTATTGATGTTGTTATATCTGAACACATTTCTAGTTAATAACGTCTGGATCAGGCATTCTTCACAGATATTTGGTGATGTCTATATTTTTGAAAATTATAATAGTTTTACATTTTATTTTAGAGCGGAGTTACTCAGGATGGGTGGAATTGTATTACTTGCCCCAGAGGCCTAACTTCAGAAGGAAAATGTAAATGCCTCAATAATGAAATATTAGGTAAGAATTATATGCAAGTTATGAGATATTAGTGCTTGTTTTAGATATCTGAGTTTATTAAGACAGGTTCTTCTGTTAAATAAGAAAGGAAATGTAACATATGTTTACATAACTAATGTACAAATTCAACATTCCTCTTGATCTTAAACCTCATTCCTGAAAGACAACAGATAAATCTGTACCATTGTTCATTGCAGTAAAAACTGTTATGCAAACATTCAAAAAATGAATACTGGTGTATCACTTCCTTTAAGCTGGTTGGCACTTGGCGGAGGCATTACAATTGGAATAAAACCAATGCCAACATAGACTGAGACAAAGCATTAACATGTTTTGAAGTATGTGATGCACAGGTACTTCACAGTACAGGAATTACACATATATGAGTAGGTGGAACAGAATAGCCTGAGCAAGCCAAGCAAACCACTGTGCATTAATATCAGTGGGTTTCATGCCTCCCTGAACCACGTGCCTCTACCTGTGATTTCCTGCAACACGCTTCCCTGTATCTGTGCTTCTTACTTGATGCTCTCTAGTAGTTGCAGATGAATTTCAGAAGTCAGAGAAAATTAATTTTAATGTTAACCTTAGTGTCTGTGTTAATTTTTGCTTATCTTGCATAGTAAAAAACTAAGAGCAAAGTATAATTTTCATCAAGGGTGGGAAACAAAAAAGCTCTCAGGAGCTCTAGTTTTCCTTATTTTCAAAGACACAGGATGGAAGAGACTTTCTGTGTGCCTGTAATTCTTTGAATAAGTATTAATAATGTCCACTTTGGTTATGTTTCTAACAGAGTTTACTGGACAATCACTGTTTTCCAGATCATTGATTTAAAATTTTCCTAGGAATGTGTAAAAGAGTGAATAGCAACCTGGTCTAGTGGAAGGTGTCCCTGCCCATGGCAGTGGGGTTGGGACTAGATGATCTTTAAGGTCCCTTCCAACCCAAACCATTCTATGGTTCTGTGATTCTGTGATCTACCTTAAACTTTATGAAAGTTACAAAATACATTCTGAGCCTTTATGGTAAAATATTGAGAGCAAAGCTGATTCTGTAATTTAACATGCAGAAAGTATTAACATGCAGAAAGAAAAGTATTAGTATTGTAATTCTTTTAAATGATTTAATTGCTGGAAGATGCAGTTCTGAAAGTTTGAATTTGTGACATACGCATGAATCATTTCAGATGAAAATTAAAAATATTTTTTTCCAGTAATTTGTAAACTTGATGTTTTGAGTTTTAGCTTTGCAGTGAAGCCTTGGTTTGAAATTTGGTTCAGAATAAGTGACGAAGGAACAGCAAAACTGGACGTGAAATATTGCATTTCTCATTAAAACTAAAGTGCATGTGCATAGCTATAAACAACACACATATACATATATGAATGTGCATTTATAGTGGATGTAATTTGCAAGTTGTGCTCTTGATGTTTTTTAAAATGAGATCTTTGCATTTATTTTAGATCTGAATAGACATTTTATTTTTTCACACTTTTCTTAACCTGTGTGACATACTGTGCATCATGCAATTTTATCACAGTTGCTTTTCTTTTCCACTTAGTGGAAAGAAGAATGGATGGCATTTTGCTTAATGAAGCATTGTGCATACATTGTAATGGAAGTGAGCAATCATTCTCTGCTTCAGATGCATCAGGAAATAGGTGAGTATTCTTTGCCTTTTGTGATGACAAATTTGAACATGTCATGTTCTGTTTAAATGGAATATTCTTGAGGAACAGTCTGTATCTTTGGGATGACAGTTTTAAAAGCAGTGAATTGGAAATCCTCAACCCTGTATCAAACTCAATGTTTTGTGTTCACTGAAGTCTACATGACCAGCAGCTTGGTTGGTTTGTTCGTTTTCCTTTAGTGTGACTAAAAAGCCGGCTTTGCATTGGAAGCAGAAACAGAATTCTTATTTTGATAATTAACTATTTCATTTCTTTTCTACTCCACTGACAGTAGAAACAAATAGGTAATCTCTTTTCGATTTCAGTTCGAACTAGTGAAGATGCTGATAGAGTTATCAGGCACACTATGTAACCAGCTTTCACTAAGTACTAAATCTCATACTCAACTACATTTTAAGTGCTTTCTTCATGTTTGTGATCCATAGGTGTGTAAGATGTGAACAAACATTCATCAATGTAAGCAAGTCTTGTGACTGCAGCAGCCCAAATGTTTTAGTAAGTAGAATAATGCTTATTGTATTGAAGCTTAGAAAAAGAGTTGACAAGTGTATAAATTTCCTGTTGTGTTTTTTTTCTTTCAGACTGGGGGATTGTGTTTCAGTGCTAGTGAAAGCTTACCCCCAAAGGGAGTTGCAACTGTTCGTTTTGCACAGCTAGTAAGTGTGTTTATTCAAAAACATTTTCAAGCTATCTTATTATTTACTTTCAGTAAGTCTTTTAAATTCTGTTCCTGAAAAACAAAAGGCTGTGGTTTGTTGTCTGATCACAGTGATTGGAAGGTAATTTTCATCAAGATAGAGTGTAGACATGTAGACCAGGCAAGCATTATTCTATCGAATATGTTTAAGAAAATTTATGCCCTCTTGGAAACTGAAAAAGGGAAGTAATTTACATGAATTTAGTATCAAAACAAGCAGCATCTTGTCTACTGTATTAATTGTATGTATTTTAAGCACACTCATGTATCACAAAAACATGCTGAAGAGTCCATGAGGGCCTCTGGGCTTTTTTTTCTTTTTTTTTTTTTTTAAATATGTAAAATTTGTATTCATATAAAATATTTGAAAGAAGGTACAAGGGTTGAAAGGACATTTTCAGTTGTCAGATGGTTACAGCTGATAGAAGATAATAGACACCTATAAAATTTGAGATTGTGTATGAAATTGTTGAACTCCTTAAATTGGCTAATGAATGAAATTATGTTCTGTTGAGAAGAATGAAGGTGTTTTCATTGTTTTAGCTAATGAACTTCTATTAGTTGTGAAATCTGCTCGAAGTTAGGACCATTTTCCAAGTAGTTCTGAATTCAGGAAATGCTATGTGGCTAATAAATGTAGTTTATTCTTAAATGAATTAATGTTAAAGGCTACTGCTTGAAAGAAAGCAAAAAGCAGTCTTCTGTTTTCCTGATAGCAAATACTGGTCTTGCTTTCTGAAAATGCCATCTTCTAAATAATATTTTATTGAAAACATGTCTTTTCAGTTGCTTACAGTATGTACAAAAGCTCTGTTTAGTTCAAATATGAGTAGTTATAAAAAGCAGGTTGTGAAATAATTAATTTGGCAATTTGGTCCTGAGTTAAATTTATCACCCAGTGTCATGGTTTAACCCCAGCCAGCAACTAAGCACTGCACAGCTGCTCACTCACTCCCTTCCCACCCAGTGGGATGGGGGAGAGAATCCGAAGGAAAAAGGTAAAACTTGTGGGTTGAGATAAGAACAGTTTAATAGGACAGAAAGGAAGAAACTAATAATGATAATAATAACAATAATAAAATGACAATAATAATAAAAGGATTGGAATATACAAAACAAGTGATGCACAATGCAATTGCTCACTACTCGTCAACCAATGCCCAGTTAGTTCCCAAGCAGCAATCTGCCTCGCCCCAGGCCAACTCCTCCCAGTTTATATACTGGGCATGATGTCGCATGGAATGGAATATTTCTCTGGCCAGTTTGGGTCAGCTGTCCTGGCTGTGTCCCCTCCCAGCTTCTTGTGCCCTCCAGCCTTCTTGCTGGCTGGGCATGAAAAGCTGAAAAATCCTTGACTTAAACACTACTTAGCAACAACTGAAAACATCAGTGTGTTATCAACATTCTTCTCATACTGAATCCAAAACATAACACTATACCAGCTGCTAGGAAGAAAATTAACTCTATCCTAGCCGAAACCAGGACACCCAGTCAACACCTTACCCTTGAAATCATTAGTACTTCCCTTGTGCAGTAAAGAAAATGTTTGTCACAGAATCCATATTCAAAACTTAAATATTTCTGCTCTTGTTCTGTATATTTTGTCTAATTTAGTGAAGTGCAAGAAGTTACTGCATTATGGTTGTGTTTTGAACTGACCTGGTTTGATTGAGACATTTACAAAGGACAGAATGCTCTTAGAAAATAGCATATTTTAGCTGACAGTTTTCCAGACTGTTATGTTATGCATAAATTGTTCTGACCAAAGGCATTGAAGCAGTTTCTTATTTACAGGGTATAACACTGACATCAGCGTGGTTTCTGAAAAACCTGCAGTCCTCAGCCTCTGCCTGTTGGGTGAGTTCCATTAATGTTTGCAGTTTGCTTTTTTATACAGAAGTGAGACTGTATAAAAGCATGGCACTTCAATTTTTGGAAGTTAGCTTGCTTATTTTTAAAGAATCTTATTTGAGATGAAAGTCATAAGAAAGCAATATATATACAGAATGTTTAGAAAGAATACTGAGCACTAGTCAATGTTAAAACAAGTCTCCAGGGTTGGAATCTTCACAAGGCGAATGGTGTTAAAGAAAAAATCCTGCAATAGTCAGTAGGTATGTGAACCGTTACTGAAAATATCCAGTAAGGGATCACTCAGAAAATCAACTTCTTGCGTATTCAGTATTGATTGGCAGCTGGTCTTTACCTCCTACTTGGCTTTCAGTTTTTCATTTTGTTTTGTGGTGGAGAAGAATAACCATAGAACCATCCTTTTTAGCTTTGCTTTGCTTTGCTTTATGTATGCAAGTGTTATTTACCATTATGATGCTCTGGGTGGCAGTAACCATGGGTAGAAGAGTGGCTGCAGCAATAGAATCATGCACTCTTGTGAAGGGGATATGCCTCTGCCTCTTTTTTACCAACTCTGTTATCACACATCCTCATTTCCCTTCTGTATTCCTCTCTTCAAAATCAGATTTTAACTTCTCAGGCCCTACTTTCTGTCCCAATCTGTCACAACCCAAAGGGTTACCTGGCCTACAAATGTATAAAGATCACAACAGTGGATTTGCAGAATTCCATATTACACAAGCACACAGAGTCTTTATTTCCTACATTTCTTTATTACAAATTACTATCAGTAAAATGAGTATACTTACGATTATTAAAGCAAGTATATATGTATTCCAGTGGTAGCAGCAATCAATAGTAGCAACAAGCATATATTTCAATATTACAAGTTACTACAAAATTATCACTTGTAAAGCAGCAAATACACTTATGATCAGTTACCTATATGCATGCCTATGTATATTCATTATTCAAAATAGTACCAGTACAGAGCTCACCAAACGGCTTCCAGGAGTGGGGCCTTGAAATCAACAACAGATGAAGTCTCACTTCGAAGATGATCTGCATCGCAGAGTCTGGAGTCAGCCAGGTGTCCCCAGCTATGGTCTGATAACTTGCCTAGGAGACCTCATAGAAAAGTTTGTGCAGGGGGACTTCTCTGTATGTGTGTGAGAGAGAGAGAAAGTGACAGACAGACCAACAGGGACAGATTCATTCTTCATTTTGGGTAAAAAGTAAGTCATTTTTATATCGCAGAGACATAAGGCAGTATAGGACAGCATCACCTGGAGCAGCCAACAGATGATGATGTTTTATATTCTCTCAGACCAGTTTTTATTTTTCCAGACTGTTTTTCTGCTCTTTAAGCTAGAACAGCCAATAGCAGTTGCTGATTCCTACTTTCTTAGAATGTTTTCCCTCTTTTCCAGACTATTTTTCACATTTCCAGACTATAAGTTTCTGTTACAGTTCCTTGGTTTTGTGCTTATCGATGGTATCTCAGGATGTCTCTGGTGTTTTTGCACCCAGCTGCACTTCTCAGGGATGTTTCTGATTCCCAGGACTAGTTCCCAGGCTAGCAGTTCCCAGGCTGGCAGGCATTCTCTGTGTCAGTATTTCAGCAGACTTCTGTTCGGTATTTTCCCAGATCACCTTTGTGGCTGTTCCCATCACCATCTCATACACATAGCTCTGAGATGTATTATCCTACTTAACCCATTCTTTTTTACAAACTGAGACTATCCTTGTCACTTACATAAGTTTATCCTGTTCGTCTTCCTCAGCCTGCTCAGCTCTTCAGAGGTGCCGCCTGAATGTAACGTGCAACTGCCGATCTGACCCACACAAAGGCAATAGGTGGTGGCAAGTTAATACTAGTGCAGTGATCACTGCACACAGATGCCAGGCACCACTTCTGCCTATTACATGGCAGTGGTTTGTTTACCAAAATTGAACAATAGTGTCAATACAACATAGTTTAGGAACAGCAGAATAGAAAAAGTACTAAAACTGAAAAGAAGATATTTATGATACATGCAGCTATAGTTGTCAGTCTTAGGTCTTTGATGGAGTCGTCTTTGTCATACAGCCTAAGTGATGTTAAACATTTTGATTCATACTTCATTTTCTAAATGCAGATCTTGACATTTCTGTCACATCATACCATCTAGCTGATGCAACTAAAATAAACTGAAAAAGCGAGAGCATTGATTTCATGCTGCCATCTCCAGACCTATAAAAATATGGAACTTGAATAGCTGGGAGAAAATATTGGGTGTTGACAAAACAAAATTACTTTCAAGTAAAAACAAGGGTTTAGGATTGGCTTATTAAAGATAACATTAATTTTATGATTGCCTCACCAAAAAGAGGGGTAAATAAATACTTTTCTATGTTCTTGTGTTTCTCCACTGCAGTTGTACTCTAATCTAACAGCATGCCAAGCTCTTGGAAATATGTGTGTGATGAATATGAACTCACTGAGTTCTTCAAGTACTGATGCCTGTGGTTTATTTCAGTATATTTATGTCAATACAGCAAGGCTAGGCATTGTTCATTCAATAGCCTTCTGGTAAGTTGCCTTTTCCATAACTTTCAGTCTTTAATAGTGTTTTATAGAAATTATTATTCTAAATGTTCTTTGATGCAAAACATTATGTTTCTTTAGAGAAAACATTGTAATTGTTTTCAGGAGGCATAATCTTCCATGGCTATATTATGGTGATCAACCAGGATTAGCATCCCAAGTGCTTGAGGCAAATCATTTCCCTGCAATCTTCAGTTTTAAAGGAACAGATAAGGTAGGTGTTGGGTAGTAGACATTGGGAAGTGGACATTAGGAAGAGGACATAAAGAGGTTTAGATTTATTACAGATGTGGCTCTACTGAAAATAATTTTTAGTCAGTCAGTGTAACAAAACCAGCGTGAGGTCTTACAGAAGAGGAAGGTGATATTTATGTAAAAAATCTCTAGGTAAGATGATTTTACTGACTTACACTCGCTTACACATTTGCTTTGCTCACACTTTCATACCCACGTTCTCATAAGGCCAGGATGTGCTTGCTTGAGTGGTCTGACCAGGATCAATTGTGTGTGACACAAGGAGCAAGGGATGCCAGCTATTAAGTCCTCATTGTGTCCCCAAGGTTATTCTGGATTGGCAGTGATGAACTAGTAATTAGACAAATCTTTTATACCCCTTAGGAGTTAGTAGTTGTTTTGGCATTGTCCTTTGCTTCAGAGTTTTGTTTACTTCAATCTCTGTAAATCTGAGGCAAAGTTGGTCTTTGTCTTTTTCCCTCGTTTGAAATATATACACCCTTTTGTCAGTTTTCCTGGTGAGCTAATTGGAAAAAGAGGGGTATATGTGATGCACTGTAACTTTGCTGCCATTCTCCTGCTGCCAAAGTGCAGGGTCTTTTGCTGACAGGTTGTCTGTACTGTGGTTTTATCACAACCCATTTCTCAGCTTTATTGCTGGGAACAGTGTTGTTCTTTATTGCTATGTGGTGTTTAACCCTTTCTTTCTGTTGCTTCTGATGCTTACACACACCTTTCTATCCCTACTTCATTTATACCAACCTCAATATTTCTGTTACAAATCTCTACAAGCTGAGTTGTATCAGAGATGGATTCAGTCTATTACTTCAGCCTTTTCCTCTTCCTACAGTGAATTAGGGGGGGAAAAAAAGAGGAAAAAAAAAAAGAGACGAGGAAAAACAATCATTTCAATGTTAACAAAGCCAGGTATCCATCCCTGGGAGGAATAGACTGCTTAAGTAGCTTGTTAACTGGCACGGTTTTAAGAAGAAATCAAACAGTAATGTGTTTTATTTTACAGATTCATTGTAACATTAGAATAACTAGAATAGTTTATTCAAGTTAAGCCAATCATAGAAAGTAGTGCTAGAGATAGCCTGTTTGTCAGTTATACTGCCAAATTTATCTTAAGTTTTCTTATTGACTCAAAAATAAAATAATAGGGTTTTTTCAGCCATATTCCAAAAGATTGTGTTTTAAATTAAACAATGTTGCAATGCAGCAATTGTTTTAACAACTAAAATACTTATTATTCTTCCTAACACTGAAGGTCCTGGAAGCCCTCAAGATCCCAGCCTGGTATATGTTAGAAATCTGCATGGATTTCTGATTAGTTTAGGGCATGTCTACTTGTGTAGAAGTTCCTTTGGAACTTTCTCCACGTCACCAGTGAAGCTGTAGAAGAATGGTAAAGTATGTTTTTTTAAACAAAGTAAACTAGCGAAACCAAGATTAAAAACATAAAATCAAAGGGGGGGAAAAATGAAGCATTATGCTGGAATTTTTTGGGAAGCATCAAACGTTGAGACAGCAATCCCTAAAGTGTGTATGTCCACTTTATGGCAGTTTCATTGTTTCTGTATCTTTTTTCATCATCAGGATGTAAAGCTGCAATTTATTGCAGCCTCATTTGATGCAGCAGGAAACTTTCTTAAATGGCAAAGTGTGGAAGGAGGCATCTTACAGGTATGTTTGATTTTAATTATCTTTTTTTGTTACCATAACGTTCTGATTGCCTTTACCCAAATTAAGACAAAAGCCAAGAGTTTGGTTACTACACTAGTGACAGTGCATAAGGTAACTATAGAGCTAGATTAGGGAAAATAGCCCTTGATTCTTGCTCATGATGATCTCTACAAAATGAAAAGTATAAATTCAGCAACATTGCCTTCATCCATTGGACCAATATAAATTTAGAATATTGGAAAGCTCTGAAAAACAGTGCTAGTCATTTAGAACCAACAGTCTCTTTCTTCCATTCAGCGTACGGTTACCCATGTACATAATTTATTATTAGCCCTCTTTTTCCTGTCAAGAAGAGTGTGTTAAAGAATACAGTCTTAGTGCACATATGTTTATAGATGATTCTATGAGTATGTCCCTGTTAGATGCTGTCACCTGTTTTCACACATTATGGGGATGCCAAGCAAATCAGTAGTTATGTCACTGTCAAGAGAGGTAGGAAAACTGATCTACTACCCCATTTTCTTTCAGTTCTCTTGGGATTTTTTGTTTGCTTATTTCTTTTGGTTTTAAATATAAAATGTACACTTTGGCTAGCATCTGCCTAGCTTTTTCATAACAAAGTCTCAAAAACTTGCTGGGAAACTTTACATAGAAATGGGGAATGCTGGCTAGAAGATTCACAGTATCCTTGCACACTCTACCCTCAGATTTCAGTGGCACACACACATTCTACTTCAGCAGTACTACGCTGTATAGATAGGGAAAAACACAAGTAAGCAGCAAGTGGAAAGTGCAATAGTAATTAGCCTAACAGTTAGCTGAAATTGACAGCTGTGAAACATGTTACGGAGTAGAATTTGTTTAGCAGTCCAGTGGTGATCTAGGCACTCTCAGCAGTTCCCTAGGCAGGCAACAATAGGAACACTAGCAAGAACAATTGGGAATTGTCTGTCCCCTTTTCTAGGCTCTTCATGTCACTCTTGGAGCATGTAACTTCAAATGCTCCAGTATCTACAGAAGAGCAGCTGACATTCAGGGTTTAGATAGTGACTGCTATTTATTTTGTTACTGTCTCGGGATGAACTGTCTTGCATCTGCCTCTCAGATTTTAAGGAAAACTAGTGTCTGAGAAAACAGGTTACTAACCCAATTACTGTGCATAGATTTTAAGGTTTATTGGGACACCTTAATTTCCTAAATGCAGAGCTTTTAGTAGCTATCAAAAATCAATGGGAAAGGAATAGCTTTCTATTCAAAGCCTCTTTTAATGTAATAGATTGTGTGTGATGATAAGACATCACAGTGCTAAAGCGCTGTCAATGTGTAATTGTAGCAATTCCCAGAATTTCAGTTGCATATTAATAGAATTGTGTTTTATGTAAATTTAGACTTGATTTTCATTTTGGGAAGATGGCTATGCCCTCCAATAAGTGCCATGCTCATTTTGTTAGAATTTAGCCTATTTTTCTGGGTTCTACTTAGAATGGCTTGTTCTTTCCAGAAAATGTAAAAGTTACATTGAAAAAGGAAAAACAAATCTGTTACTTGCCATGATAACTTTGATCCTCTGAGAGTGCTACCTTAAGAGAAGGGGGGCAATATGAATGTGGAGTTTTTTTCTGATGGGATTCTTGGATTTAGCAGAAGCCACCAATAAAGCTTGAGACAGCACAGTGCATTAAACATTCAGTCCCCAAAAAGATTATTTTTGCCTGGTTGGATGCTGCTGGCCACAGATTTCAACTTCAGTGATGAACTGAAAAATACTTTGCAAATGTGAATAAGCTAAAACAGCATTTTAAGAGCAACAATATTAGTACAATAAATACTCATGTTTACTCTTCAAAATCAATCCCTTTCTTCTTAAAAAATAGAACAAAATATCTTTTCTGAGAACTGTGAATACATAAACTGCTTGGAGTACCTGTGAATATTTCGTGTGAGAAAATTATACCTTTGAATTAACCTAGTTATAATTATGTTTTGTTCAGCTTTGTCCTGATACCCAAACTAAATTGAATGCAGCTTATGCATTTGGAACAACTTACCAACAAAGTGTAAGTAAGAGATAAAATGCTATTTTGAATTAAGTTGCTTTATACGTCATCAGTAATTCAGTGCATATTGAAGGACCTCTGGAGTTTAGCAATAAGTTGCAACATGGACTTCTTTCTTGTGAAACTGTTCCTTATTTTAATTTCTTTATTACTAAGTGAAATAAATGTGGGGTTTTTTAAATTATTTAACTATACATCACAAAACTTGTGTACTACATAGGATAATCAAAATAAATTGACCTGGCATTTGTATTAATGAGGCTGCTGACTTATCAGTGGAAGAACACAATGCCTGAATTCTGATAGTCATATACTTTGTGTCGTAACTTCTAATTTTCCTGCCTCCATCTTTGGCCAGGTTTCATATGGAAAGAAGACATACGCAATCATGTCATGCCTGTATGTTGTCCCATTAACTCTTTAATATATGCCCTGATTTCATTCAATAAAGAGATTGAAGGCAAGTTTTAATCGAACTGATGACTCATCAGAGGAAAGAGATTCTTTAGCTGTCTTAACTATGGAAAAAACTATTGGGGTTTTCACACCTTACTAAACACCAGGAAAGGGAGAGAGGATAGAGCACTTGAGCTTGTGTATATGTAGATGCTAAATTCAGTCAGACATAGACATGGTTCTGCCAGCAATAAAGCTTCATTAATTTTTTTTTACTTACATGTTAAATGGAGAGTTGGTAGTCTCTTTGACAGGGGGGTGGAGAAATAACTTCTTTATTTTTATAAAACTCCATATGTGTGTGCAGCATCTAATACCTATGTCTCCATTAATATTATTTATTAACTTGTCTGCATTCAAAACTATTCCCCACATTATGGGTTGCAGTGTAAAATAGATAAACTCTGGCTCCTATTTGGGTGGTGTGAAAGTCTTGTAGTGTAATAGCTGTCAAAGCTTTAGTCCTTGAAAAACTGAAGTGTCTACCAAATAATTTTGGCAAATCTTTGCTAAATATTTTTACTCTTCCAAGTTGTTTAATGTTGCTTAAACTATATTTCAGACAGAATGGAAACTTACTTTCTATTTAGGATCATTGAACTAGTCAAGTATGGTTATTCTTTTTTTGTGCTTTTTAAAATGTTATGTATTTGATCTATTGAGTCTGTAGAACCTGTTGTTAAGTATTAACAGCAGTTAGTATTACTGGGTTTAAATATAAACACCAATAAATATTAACTTACTGAGTATTTTTTGATGTGATGATATTCACGGATTGTATGCATCACTTTTTTTTTTCCTACAGCTTTGGAGAAAACATGGTTGACATGTTATATGAGTATTTAAAGACTGCACGGTTGTTCACATATGCAGAAAACTGCCTCTTTTCACATTTAATTTCTTCACACAATCACAGAATGGTTAAGGCAGGCAGGGACCTCTGGAGATCATGTTGTCCAACCCCTCTCCTCAAGCTGGGCCACCTAGAGACAGTTGCCCAGGACCGTGTCCAGACAGCTTTTGAGTATCTCCAAGGAGTGAGACTCCACAACATCTCTGGGCAACCTGTGCCAGTGTTTGGTCATCCTCACAGTGAAAAAGTGTTTCCTGATGCTCAGAGGGAACCTTCTGTTTCAGTTTGTGCCCATTGCTTCTGGTCCTGTCACTGGGCACTGAAAAGAGCCTGGCTCTGTCTTGTACACCCTTCCTTCAGATAGTTGTACACATTGATAAGATCCCCCCTGACCCTTATCTCCAGGCAAAACAGTCCCAACTTTCTCAGCCTTTCCTCATAGGAGAGATGCTCCAGTCCCTTCATCATCTTAGTGGCTTGTGCTGGACTATATCAAGTAGCTCCATTTCTCTCTTGTACTGGTGAGCCCAGAACCAGACACAGTACTGCATGACTTCAGTGTTTTGTGTTTCTTGACTTGAGTGTTTATGCTGTTTCAAATTTTATGTCTGTGAAATTTGCTAGGATATTTTTTCCTAACCTGTTGAAAAATGTTAGCAAAGCTTCATTCTCCTCATTAGTCATTCTAGTCAAATGCAGTCATTTCCAGGAGGTTTGTATAAAATCATTAGTACTTTGTAATTGCTTGCAAATAGCTGCAATGCCTTGTCTTTGTGAGAAAGTGGGACAGATTCCACAATAATTTTGTAGGGGAAGATTCCACAACTTGATAAAATCATTAAATGGCTAAAGTGATCTTTCTATTTTAACAATTTTTTTCTTGTAGTGCAAAATTCCAGTTTCGAAGATTTTATCAGATTTTGCTAATCCAATCTTTTATGACCTATTCCTTGAATATAATGGTGACAATGGACAACAATATCTTTGGGCCGTGCCAGTTTTAAACTTGAATCTTCAGTACAGTGAAATGTTTGTTAATCAAGGTAAGACTGTCATAGTAACATTTCTGTGAACGTAAATAATCTGAATAACTTCAAATAGAAAGAATTTGTGTTAATTACTGTTACTGCATTGTTTAAAGATACCACAACACACCATAACTGGTTTCTGTTTTAAGAATTTAGTATTTTGGGGGCAAGTTCTGATAGTGTTAAGTGCAAGCTTTGGTTGCATACAGTGGCCCAGTCAATAATATGCACAAATAAAGTAATCTAATTTCACAATGTATTTGTTTAAGTTGAAAATAAATAATTGTACTTCCTGAATAGTTATATGTATTATACAGTTATATGTATCATTTCTAGTAGATTTCATTCTTTTTGTGTGTTGAATTAGTTTTTTAAATATTATGTGACTGTCATGTTTTTTCAAAGGCAGTAATATGAACAACTGGCTTTTGACTCGTCGATTTTTTTTGGTGGACATGCTAAGTGGAAAAGAGAATGACTTGGGAAAACTACCAAGAGTAATTCGGATTGCTAGCAAAATAATAATAAGGTGATTAATTGCATATAATATATAGTACATAGAAAATAAAGCCAAATTTGTGCAGTCTACGTTTTATTGTCTTAAAAGAAAGTTGTTTCATTATGTTGTTTCTCATATTTCCTGTGCTGCTTTTTCCATTGCATACTTTCCATAGGTTGTTCTGATGAGTGAGTGAGAAAACATAACATTGACTTGTGGGGGTTAAAATTACTGTGATTACTTTCCAGGTGCCATGGATCAGACTATGTATGCATAATACAAGTTAGCAGGCATTCGGTCACATCTTAGAAGCAGGTGTCATCTGGAAAGACCTAAAAACTCCTCTGTTTATTCTTTTTCAAGGTGTATGTTGCTGACTGTACAAGGATGCTGTTTCATACTCCATATTCTTTTTTGCAGTATTTTTACAAACTGTTGCCTATTCTGTTATACAATCCAGAACAGACTTATAGTCATTTAACTGAAATTGTAAGACTACCTGTTAAGGTTATTACTGATGGTTAATCTCAACTGGAATATGTTTTGGAAGAACCTCTTTTTTTTATGTAATGTCTTCCTCTGAGATAACTGTCTAAAAATTGAGATCTCCCTTCTTCTTTGGCTCTTCTTCACAACTTACTAGTTAAAAAGATTGCTGAGTAGCACTGAGTACTGATCCATACCAGTAAAGATTCTGAAGAGTAGTGTAATGTGCTAACTCCATTTGCTGAGAATTACATATTACATTGTTTCAAACAATAAGGATTAGCTTGTGTATCTTAGAAGAATGCCCTCCCACCCCCCCCTTCGAAAAAAGGATAATGCCAGAAATTCGAAATACACATAGAAAAGGTCCTTCTGTAATGTTTTGAGAAAAGTTACCTTTTGGAATTTACTTCAATTGCAGCTATCATAATGTGAGCAGTAGGTAAAGATTGATTCAGGTATTTTCTTAAAAATAAACGATCCTTCCCAGCTTTTTCTTATTATATATTCGTGTACATGCCTTTGTACATTCCGGTTGCTTTTCAGATGTGAATTGCCATATCATTGGGTTTGAAAATCACATTTTATTGATCAGCTTGTTCTGTTCATTTAGTATTTTCTTATTAGTACAAGTTTCAATGAATACTTTCCAAGCAAGTCATCCATTTTCTGTATTAAAAATAATACTTCTGTTTGTATTTCTGCAGTATTCGTCTGGTATCCCATACTCAGAGAGGAACTATCTACCCTCCTCTAATTACTATTGCTTACACGGATGTGCTTGTCCAAAACCCTGAAACCCAGAGTGTGATGGTGAGATCTTTGTGCTATCTTAATTGAACTGATTTGTTAATCATATTTTTATTTCTGTTGGAATTCTAATTGAGTGAACTTTGGCGGGGGGGGGGTTAAAATAAGCAGTTTCTAGTTCTGCTCAGTTATGAAGTTGCAAGTTTTCATTTAAAACAAAACAGTTAATAGTATTTTCTTTTTAATTCATCTTGAGTCTTTTTTAACTTAAAATACTTAGAATTTTACATTTGGTTGTATAATGCTAAATAAGGCTACAGTTCAAATGAAATACACACAGAAAATAACAGGAAAAGTACTTATGCAATGCACTGAAGGCAGCAATTTATGCAAGAAATAGAATATATAAAGCAGTGCATTAAGAGGAGGTTGTTAGGGGACAGATATTTCAGGTCATCTGTAGTTTAAGTTAAAATATTGGTAATATATCTAAAACATCCTCTAGTATTTTGTCTGCTGTGTATTTTTTTACAGCACATCTCTAAGAATTAAAGTAAATAATAAAAAAATCTGTAGCCAGAAGGATTGGAGATCAGTTTGGGGGATCTTTCTCTACTGAAAGCCACCAAATTCTGCTGTAGCAGATGCAGAAGGGGGCATTTCCTACTTGCACTTTTGCCTGTCATGATGGGCAGCAGCTCACATGTTCTATTCCTGTGCCTTGTTTGCTTGTTAGGTCACACTGCTTTAAAAAGTGAAAATGTTGAGCTTAATATAGTAAAATAATCATTCTGCTATTAAAAAAATTATAATATTAACATTTTCTGCTTATCAACTTTCAACAGTTCAGGCTTCCAGTACAGATAGACGTCTAGCTAGAAACTTCTGGTGCTAGAACCATTCCTTGCATTCCATATTAGCTGCATGAAAGGAGAGAAGAGACAGGGAATTAGAATGATAAAAAAATTAGTCAGACAATTCTTCTCTGCCTAAATGATGTCTTTATTTAACCACAAAACCAGCACTGTTTTTAGAAAATAATTCATTCAAATGGCGATGGCAACAACAATTGTTTTCAGTTTCTCTATTTTCTGTTATACTATTTCATCCTTACATCTACATCTGATGTATTTAGGTCTTGTCAATTTTGGATGTCTTGTTGCATTTAGCAAATGTTGTGCAAGTAAAAAATACACTGAATTTCGTTCCAAGTTCTATAAATACTGAGATTCTAGTAACTGAGCATGTTTAGACTTAAATCCAAGTGAGGTAATAGAATGAGCTCTGACAGAAACAAATGTTTTAGGAAGCCAAGGGGGGGGGGATTGGTTTGGGAGGGGGTTGTCCTTTTTTTTTAAATCAAATTAAAAATACTATTCACTATCATACTTGTGTTAACTTTAGCCTTGCAGTGACAAATGCTCAGGCCAGAATGTTATAAAACCAAGATGCAAATCTTTCAGACCAAAGTCAAAATAGGTCTCAGATTAGATAGATATTTAAGCTAGAGGGAGCAATTTTGAAGCTGCATGACAATTTTTATTTCATTCAAGGTGGGAAAAAAAAATTGGTATCTGAGCTATGTAAGAGCTCACTTTATGATTCTTCATATTGCTGTAATTACATTAAAGTTACTTTTAATCAACACTGATAAAAGTGAAAGTATCAAACCTTTGGTGTCTCCTTTCAGAAGGAAAAAAATTATGCACATTTGAAAGAATTATAATTAGGTACAGCTAGTAACTTGCAGATAGCAGGCATTACTGTTGGTAAAATCTGCACTAAGCATAGCACAAGCACATGCTAGTACTAAGCCTGGCACTGTAGCACACCAGGTCATATGTATACAGTAAAAGAAGATATATGTTGTCCTTGTATAGTAGCACTAGATGGGAATTCCCACTAACTGAATGTGTGAAAACTACCACTGTCTGTAATGGTTGTAGCATTTCAGAATTTCTATCCATATTTACTTTTTGTATCTTAATATTCAGGTTTCCTTCTCAGTCAATTATGAGATGAATCAGTCAGAGGCTCAGATTCAGACTGATGTAAGTTGTATTTCCCCTTAATTTGTCGATATAATGATTTACTTATATTTTGTGGTTTTTAAAAATATCTGCAAATAATTTTTCATTCTCTTCAGATCACGCTGGGTGTTTTGGGTGGGCTCGCAGTGTTATGGTCCCTTCTCAAGACTGCAGGCTGGAAGAGGCGTACAGGAAGCTCTATAATTGACTTGCAGGTATAAACAGCTGATGACCTAAAAAGGGACACATTTTCCTCTCTTTAAGGAGACCTTTGCTATCATTCCTTGTGATATAATTTTTCTGTTTCTTAAGGTAACTGAAATGATTTCTAGCCTAGGTGCATAGAACTGTGACCTAGAGTTACGCTCATTGGAGGAAGTAGGTTTTTTGCATTGTTTTGGATTCTGATGTTGTCATTTAGGAAATACTTTTGCTAGAAGTAAAGGTATTTACAGAGCAGTTCTGATCAGTTGAGTGGACTGTTTTCAGATTAATTGTTCTTTGAACAAAGACTAGCATGTAGGCATTTCAGATGCTGAATATACCTTAAATATATGACCACAGTAGAAAAATTTTGTTCGAGGCTACTTTTCAGTACTGGAGTTCCCTGTAGTGTGACCTGCATAAAATTTTATATGAATATACATATGCATTACTTAATTAGTTTTACAGATCTCTACAGTGTGTTTTTATAATTCCAGACAGTTTTGAAGTTCTTACTGTTTTATGCTGGAGACCTTGCCAACGTTTTCTTTATCATCACAGTGGGCACAGGGATTTATTGGCTTGTGTTCTTCAAAGTAAGTGTTTTTCCAGATTTGGGTGTTATGAAAACCTATTAATATTATATATATTTTTACACAAAAATTAATTTTCTTTCTTTTTTTTTTGCCTTTCTGGTCAGAGTATTGAGGCAAGTTCTATATCATATACTGGTTTGTGTGCTTAAATTTTTGTGTTCACCTGTTTCTTAGGATTCATTCTACTTGCAGTCTGCTTAATAATCACTTAAAATATTTTACAAATTCAAAATGATTGCATATTAAATATTGAATTTTTCTGAAAAATGTTGTTCACTTTTAAGCATTTAGTATGTTGTTACATATGCCATCCATACTATTTCAATGTAACTTCTCAATTATAGGCTCAGCAGTTTGTTTCTGTCCTTTTACCACTACCATCTCAAGAAGAAGATTTTGTTACATACATAGCGTGTGCATTTAGTTTAAAGGTAAATATTAAAGACATTTCAAGATATGCTTCTGTATATTTTCAGCAAGCTTGTTTTTAAACATCTTGTGCAGTTCATTTTATTAGTGTATAGATGTAAACAATTATTTTATTCCAGGAATTAAGTTATTTTTCCATAGAAATTTACTTTGTGGAGTCTTTATAGGGAAACGAATGTCTAAGAAGATATCTATGGAAAATTATTCTTTCAAGAATAAAGGTGTAAAGAAACCCAAATAACACCATATCAAGAATAAAGCAGAATATAAGTGCTGTCAGTTCCTGATTAAAAAGAAGACAGATTAAAATAATTTTGTTTAAACATACTTGTAGAATTCAGAGATCGGTATTCTTTCTTCATGGGACATACAAGTATTTTATTAATTATGGGTATTGAATTGGACTTCATAATACAGGTTAATATTTTATGGGAAAATACTTAGACAATTTTTTGGAATTTGTTACTTTGCTGTATTTTCTTCATAATTTTGGACAACATCACATGACTTAACCATTATTCCAAGCTTTTAAATTAAAAAAAAAAAAAAAATGTGTCAAAAGTTGGTAACAAAGTTTCAGTCGCAAGTGTAGTCAAGTATATTACTTGTTTCGTTTAATGGACGACAGGTGCAATGACTGTTTCTTCATCTTTGTCTGTATGCTGTTGCTGTCCGTCCTTGTTATATTTCTCCTTTTTCTTTCTTAGGCTCTGCAATTCTTACAATTGCTGGTTTCACAACTTACTATAGATATTTTCTTCATTGACTGGGAAAGACCTAAGGGCAAAGTTCTTAAAGCAGTTGAAGGTAACTCAAACTGTGCTTGTTTGTATAAACAGCTGTGGTTAAATTTGGATATTACTCTCAGGTATTAAATTTCAGAGCTTTATTGTATGTATTCTTTTTAGGTGAAGGTGTTATTAAAAGTGCTGCTGCACCTGTGAGCATATGGAGGACATATTTTATAGCAAATGAATGGAATGAAATTCAGACAGTGAGGAAGATAAATCCCCTCTTTCAAGTTCTTGCAGTTCTTTTTTTTCTGGAGGTATTATTACTACAATTATTATTGTTACTGTTAGTAACTTTTTATGATTCACAACTGGAGTATAACGCAAGGGTCTGGTTTTTTAATTCTTGCATTCTCTATGGTAATAGTGGATGACCTTCAAGTTCACTTGAAAACATGTAACTTAGTAAAATAATTATTTTAATACAACTTTTAATTTATATGTATGTATATATAGGTCATTGCAATATTTCATTAAGGAAGACTTTTAAAAAAAAAAAACAAACCTTTAATTACCTTAGAGACCTTTGTTAGTTTTGTTTGGATTTTTTTAAGGTAATGAGTTATCCCAATGGCTTAAGAGACTGATAAATCTGTGTACACACCCCATTCTTTATTTGCCTACTGGGTCCCTCCTGCCACAGTCTACAGCTTCATTTCTGGTTTCATATTTATCTGAACTGAGCTTCCTTCCTGCTAATTTGCTATAGTGACCTTTTATAAAGTAGGAAATGAAATGTGCCAGTTCTGTTACTGATGGCATAACACGAAGCAGGATGCCTTCAGTTACAGCTTAAGGATATGTGAGAAATTGTGCTTTAGCTATTCAGAAACATTTTTGTTTGATTCTTCTGTAGTTTGGTAAGTACTTTTATTTTGGGAAGTATTCTTAAAGCGTGTAGTATATAGTTGTTTATGTGAGGTTCTTTTACATATTTTTAATACTTTTATTCATTTTTATGGTCCTGTTTTTAAATTTCCTATTTTTCTTTTAAATTAAATACAGTAAAATACCCCAAACTTTGCTCATTCACTACATCAGTATTTTTGCTGTTGGTAAATACAGGCCAGGACCAACTTAGTTGCCATGTTACAAGGAAGGAATGGGAGAAAAGAGAGCCCATATTCCCAAAACTAACTAATCTCCTCAGGTTACTCTTCATAGGCTCCTGATATTACTAAAAGGAAGAGGCTACTCCTAGTAGAGAGTGATTAACATCTTGCTCTATAACTCCTGCTATGAATTTCCCTCTGGAGAATCCCTTTCTTGCTACTGGAAAGATACCTAAATAGGCTAAAATTGGTGTTTGTGAAAACCTCAGATAATCTTTATAACTTTCATTGTCATGGTCAAGTTTGGAGTGTAGTTTCCCTAGAAGTGTAATGCACGGCGTAGATATGGCAATCAGCTGCTCACTACAAGGGGGAACTTGGGTATTGCTCAAAACCTGTCTTCTTGGGTTAGCAATTTTGATAAAGTGACTGTTCAGTTCTCATTAATCATGGTGACAGGCTGTACAGTAGTAGAAAACGAGCCAGGAAAAGTAATAGTTGGAGGAAGTTGGGAAGCGTAGAAGGAGTCTCCCTCCCCTCGGGCCTCATGCCTGGCACCAAAGCAGCTGCTGGTTGGCACTGGTTGCCGCGGCAGTGTTGACTAACTGGCTAGTGCAGATAGCACTCTCGCAGCAAAACTTTGCAATATTGTACTGGGTCTGGCTGGGATGGCGTTAATTTTCTTCATAGCAGCCCATAGGGTGCTGTGTTTTGGATTCGTGGCTAAACCAGGGCTGATAACACACCAATGTTTTGGCTATTGCTGAACAGCGCTTGCACCGCGTCAAGGCCCCCAGCGAGTAGGCTGGGGCTGCACAAGAAGCTGGAAGGAGAACACAACCAGGACAACTGACCCCAACTGACCAAAGGGGTATTTCATACCATATACCATCATGCTCAGCAGTAAAAATGGAGGGGAGGGATTTTCTGGGGACTGGCTGGGCATTGGTCTACTTGTGGGAGGTAGGTAGTGATTGATTGCCTTTGCATCACTTGTCGTGGAGGTTTTTTTCACCTTCTTCTTCCCTTTTCCTTCCTTATTAAACTGTCTTTATCTTGACCCACAAGTTTTCTTGCTTTTGTTTTTCCTGTTCCCTGTCCCGCCATGGTGGGGGTCAACCCACCACAAGTATGTTTCTGGTGCAGCTTCAGTTCTGAATGATTTTCACAAAATTTTCACGTCTTTAATCAAGACATAGTGTTTCTCTCATCTTTTTTATTTGGGAACTTTTACTAGATTGTTTATTTAAAATGGATTCAGCCATACAGTGGAGAGAAATATATTTCTGTTCAATAAAAACAAAAAAATCAGTTTGTTACAGTTGCAAAACAGATTAAAAAAATGTTTTAACACTGGAACATATAGGACCAAAAAGCTGAAATTTGGCAGAAATAATATCCCTATGCAGTCTAACAGTAGAATCTTTAGGAGTTTTTCAGTAAGTCAATGTTGACTTTTTGTGAGATTTAGCTGCGTATGTTTTTGAATTTATGTATCAACACACGTATGTACAGTTTATGTTTTTAATTATGTTTCTCGGTAGTAACACTGGATCACACAGTTGGGCTCTATCATACTGAACATGCTACTATTCCCAGCTCCATTTTTCCTAATTTTTTCTTCTTATTTCCTGTTAGGATGGAAACAGCAGAGTCATAATTAATACTATTCATTGCCTCATGTTGTTATGTTGACCTTCTTATCTCTTCAGGTGGTAGGATTTTCAAACCTGGCTTTAATGGATTCTTCTTCTAGTCTTACAAGAAGCAGTGAGAGTTTCATAGCTCCTTGGAGCCGTATTTTAAGATTTGGTGTGTCTGCTGCACTCTGGCTAGCCATTGCCTTCTTACAGGTATGCGAAACACGTGACATACTGAATTATCATTTTCAGGCCGGTTCTTGGAAGTTAGAATACATCACTAGGCAATCCATAGTACGTATCATAGCATTGGGTGCATTCTTAACTATTTTGCTTGATCTAGATTTTTAGCTGCTTTAGCATGGTACACCTTTAGAACTCAAAATGAATCTTCTGAGCTGTAAGACATCTTACCTTGTAGTCAGAATTTTAATTCTCTCAAAGATGTGAATTTATGCAATCGCTTTGTTTTGTTTTAAACAACTTTGAAGCATCTCGAAGCTCAAAATGAAAAGCAGGTTATTGCTACAACTTTACTTAGAGGAAGAATGTTGATCCCATTTCAGAGTCCAATGCAATGGTGGCCCCTACAGAAGTCTGTAATTTGTGGGTGTTAAACTGTGAAGTTAACTGCTTAATGAAGTCAATTCTGATGAACTAATTAAAAAAATGTGGTTTATTTATTTCAGATTATATTTTTTTCTGTGTTTTATGAAAGATTTGTTGAAGATAAGATAAGCCAATTTGTTGATTTATGTTGCATGAGCAATGTAAGTATTTCTTTGTCTCATTTGTACAGTGGCATTTTTATTAGAATAATACATAAGATATAAGAGTATTAAATAATATTCATTTAATTTAATCAGAGATTACTAGCTAACAGCAAAAGTCAGTGTTTCTTTCAGCTCACTTTATTGGTGCAATCTACAGGAAGATTTCAGTTAAATTTGGAAAAAGATTCTGGAACCATAGGTATCAATGTGTTCTTCTAGACGTGGGAGTTTTAGGTTGTTTTTTGAAGTTAAATTGGTTACATGTGCTCATACAGAATTTAAAAGTAACAAAGTATGACAGAAATTAGGTCTGGAACCATTTGCTGCTGTTCTGTCTAGTGGTTTGCATTTTAGTGCTTTTGTCTTACAGACACAGCCGTCTTGGTTTTATTTAATATGTTTATGTTCAGTTTCTGCTCCTGTCTTGTGGTTGTCCCTCAACCACTGAAATTCATGGTTGTCCCTCTTGGACAGTTATCACCTTTTTCATGCATTTTTGCTTACTCGCATCTGAACTACTTCCATTTCTCTAGTTTAAACATGGGCCTTGAAGCTTTGTACTGCAGGCTTTCCTTATTAACCAAAGAAGAGGGCAGTCAGAACACATTGGATTAGCTCATTTGTCCAGAACTTTTTAAAAATACAGAGATTAACCCCTTTTATCAGCCTTTCCAGCCTTTGTTATTCCTCTTCTGTGAAACACCCATGTAGTGCATGGGTTGTAGAGAGAGTTAATTTTGTGGTTTATGTGATATATAAGCATTGCATCATACTGAATGAAATTCTGTTAAATACAGTCTCCTAGGAGCTCAGCTGGAATCATGCATATGTATTATGTATCACAGAAATAACTTTTGAATCAAAATAAAAGCTAATAACTTTGCTTTAATTTTTTGGCTCTGTGGAATTAAGTAGTGATCCTTGCCATTGATAAACTAAAGCTGCTTTGTGTTTCTAGTTGAACATACATAAAACTAATCAGTAAAAGAGTTATTAAATATTTTTATGCCGTGTTTATTTTGGTACCTGCCTACTTTGTATTTGTAGAAGGGCTAGTCTTGCTGATCTCCACTGTGAATTCAAAAGTTCAAAAATAAAATGATAATGTTTAATTAAAGTATTCTTCTTTTCCCCATCTCTTTTAGATTTCAGTGTTTCTCTTGTCACACAGCTGCTTTGGTTATTATATCCATGGTCGCTCTGTGCATGGACATGCAGATACCAATATGGAAGAAATGAATATGAACCTAAAGAGAGAAGCAGTAAGTAAAAGTATTAAAGTTTACACCTGCTGTAATTATTTATTTTATAAAAAAAACCTACACCTTTTCATTATGGATCTGCGCTTGTGCATTACATTGCACCAAGTTATGATACTTAAAAGATACCAACTGTTGGTGTATAAATATATGACTCAATAGTTCTTTTAACTAGCTGCTCATGTTTCTTCTTCTTCACTATCTCTTCTTCTCTGTTACTTCTTCAGATTTCATAGATATAAAATTGCTGGTTTTCTAAAATTTTTTTTCATGTATTTAAGAACCTTCTTTATGATATTGAAGCTTTTCATAAGCTCATGGCCTCATTCAAAAAGATGCATACCAAAAAGCTTTCATAAAGAGGCAAATCTGAAAAACTCCTAAGAAACAAACATCTACTCTTCCAATAAGTTCTTTTATTCCATCTTTTCTGCTGTGGTAATATAACCTATTCTTTACAGAGATCAATTTGAAGAAGTATTTTTTCTAGTTTGTCCTATGTTGTATCTGTGCTGCAAGATCAGGCAAATGTAAAATGTCTAATACAAGATTGGAGCACTTTGCACTAAATTTCATGATATCTTGCATCTTTATAGGGACCAGTAGGAAGAAAGTACTTTAGACAAAGGTTATTTCTACTTCAATGATAAGTGGACAGAAAAAAACATAACCATGTGAAAATTAAATCTCAAACTTGAAATGTAGAGGAATCCTTTTAATGATGTTTTTTACTTGTGTGTTCCTATAATTTTTTCCTAATTGCTTAATGTAATACAATTTTGGGAAAAGCAGTTTTTTCCCTATGGAGATGTCAAATTTTCTGTTTTCTCAGGGTTTTTTCAGATTTATTAAATGTGACCTGAAAAAACATATGGAAAAAGTCAGGAATCCAAAGCACAAAAAAAGCAGGACAAGTACAGAACAAACAATAAACATAAAAGAAAGGGCTTCAGGGTGAATGTCAAAAGATGTATTAGAAGCTAATGAACTGAACACAGGTGAAGAGAGGAATATGACTTTGTGACAGCAGGGGTCAGGATTTCATGTCCGAAGAAAATCATGCTATAATAGAACCAAGGGTGCAGTGGATTCAAATATTTAGAGATATTAAGTACTATGTGTACATGAAAGAGAGGAAATTAAAAGCTTTTGACTTTTGGTGGTCTATGAATGACATTAGTAATGTTAATTTACAACTGCTTTAATTGTATAGGAAAATCTATGTAGTCAGAGAGGTTTGTTACCGAACACAGATGGCCAGACATTTCAGATTTCCATTTCAAGAAAAATGCGACTGCACTATGACAGGATTCATGAAACCCTGACAAGAGTAAGTGAGATATTTGTATTCTGTAAATGTTATTTAAAATACGTAATTTTCCCGCTGAAGTCATGGTCATGTTATATTTCAGAAACGTGGTCCTGCTAGGCTTTTGGACTCATCTGCAAATACTTTCGAACAAAGCACAAGGGCATACAACACCATGAACAAATTTCTCAATTCTTTTATTGATCACGTATGTATGTTGACATTACTTTAGTAAGGAAAATATAATTATAGTAAGTAGAGACTAAAAATTCTAAATCTGAAAGACTGTAATTTCTCTTTTAGCATATGTCCTTAAAGACTTGTTTTTAAAGACTTTATGGCAACTAGAACAGTGCTTCATTAAAAAAAAAAAAAAAAATTGGAGTACTGTCCAACAGTGCAGTCTGCCCTTAAAAATGACAAATCCTTTTTTGTTATGTACTTATTTTTGTGTTGGAATAGAACAGTGCTTTTTGTCATTCATAAAGGTCTAAATAGCTGTACTTCACTTTGTAACAAGTACTTTTTCTTTGAAATCATAAAACAAGCAGTATTGTTTTTCCCTTTCTTATAGGTTCATAAAGAAATGGATTATATTGTTAAAGATAAGTTGCTGCTTGAACGGATTCTTGGCATGGAGTTCATGGAACCACTAGAGAAAAGTATTTTTTACAATGGTAAAAAGATTTGTGACTTGGTATTTGTACTATTATAAGTATGTAGGTTTTGTGTAGATTTCTTTCCCAAGATTTACAATCTAAACTGGACTTTACAGCAGGAGGGGTCATTAAATGACCGCTTGTGAGGGAAGTATTTAAGAGAAGGTCCTCAGGTTACAGAAATCCTATTTATAATTTGTCGCTGGACTCCAATGTTTTTTCTTTTAGGCAACTGAAAGTATACTGTGTAGAGACATACATGTGTTTACGAAGTGCTCCTTTGACTTGCTATCTAGATCCAATATCCACTTTGTAAATGGAAAGAAGATCCACAATATTTAAATAGCTCCGTGACATTTTTTTTTAATATAGAACCAAATTTCTTATGAAACAACTAAAAGTACAGAAAGACAATTTCTTTAAAGAGAATATTGATCACAGTGAGGACATTTTAGTGGAATACTTGATGTTAATACACCACTCATCTTTACAGACTCCACTAAATAATTTGGGTTCTTGAATATTTTATTTCAAAGCTTTTTAAGCATTGCCAATACCTACAGCAAAAATGAGTATTCCAGCAGAAATAGGGATGACGCCAGTTCTGATTCTGATCCCTGGAGCTATGCAAAATCAGACAGACTTGGGTTCTCCAATGCATCGTCCCGAATCCCAAGCCCATGCTAAACCTAGCCATAAGTATTTCCAAGTGACCAGTACATGTGTTAAAAACAGATTTAGATTTAGTGAAAGTTCTTGACTGTATCTCAGCCTTCAACCTAGGTTCCTAAACTGGAATCCCTGGAAGATTGAAGCTGTGAAACACCAAGGCTTTAAAAACCTTAACCTATTCATAATTACTGCCAGGTGACCATATCTGCATCACTGGAATCCTCACCCAGTGTTAGGTCTTCCACTTCCTCCATTTACAAGGTTCTGAAACCCTGAGTCCTGGTCTCCTCCTATTAACAGATGTGGTCTGGGGACCAGTATCCACACTGCAATGAAATATGAGCTATGAACTTAGGCCTGATACCAGTCTGCTTCTTCAGTCCCTGAGCTGTACAGAATCCCTCAAAAATTATCTTTGAAAACCTTAGTTCAGACCCTGATTCTACCCCTGACCATAAATATGGCCATCACCTGTGTGAAAACTAAACATTAACTAGTGATCCAAGATGATGCAAGCCCTCATTTTGAGTCCCTCAAGTACTTGGCTCTCCAGCCTCACTGTTCAAAAAATCTAAACCTGATCAGAACTGTAGTGCAACACCTAGATGTTACCAGATGACCATTACACATCCTAAACATGTCATTATTCTTATATAATAGCAATCCACAGATTACATCACTGAGCTGTGCAGAACTTTTCCTGCTCTATGACACTGGGGCTGCAAAAGCTGAAGCCTAATTTGAATCTCAAATCTTGCTATATAATCAGGAATGCAGCACATGCTTTCGAACTAGCCATGGTTGTAGTCTGATATTTTTGCTCAGTCTAGACATCTGAGCTACACCTAATTCATTAAAGGTTTGGGCTCTCCTCCCCTGTCATGGTGAAGCACTATCTTTCGTAATAAACGTTGCCAGACAGCCAGTATCTGCCTTAAAACTATAACTAGGGCTTTCTTCAGCCTCAGTCTGTGATTCCACGCCTTGCAATATCAGTCATTCCAAACCCTGTTCTAAACCCCAGGTCTACTCAGCCATAAATATTGTCAGGTATGCAATGTCTGAGTTAGAATTAAGTGTATAAGCGTGATGTGATGTCTCCAAATTGTGCAGTATTCAACAAAGGTTTGGTCTTTTGACTGCCATTGTTTCAAAGTTCATAATCGTAAGCATTGATACAAATACATTGTTTGATGGTTTAGAGTGCCATGGTTTCCAGTTTAGATACACATCAGGATTTCGTGGCAGTAGGACATAGAAAATTTGTAATGAAAATATGCTGTTTCCAATAAAACCAGCATTAGGCATTTTCCTGAAAAAGTAGAAAGAGGGAAAAGAATCTATTTTCTGTAATTGTTTATTTTAAGTGTTCTTTTCTCTTTTGAAAGTGGTGCTTTTTGATAAAATAAAGAAGTGGATAAGTGGTCTAGACTACTTTGGCTATGAAGAAGGTATTTTAAGCTTAAAAGACCCATTTCCTGGGAAAACTGTTAACCAATGAACAAAGATAATGTTAAGCTCTGAATGTCCTCCTAAGTAAGGCTTTAAGCATATGTTTTTATTATTATGTTGAGTTGGGGCCAGAGGTAACACTTGCTAAAAATTTCAGTGACAAGGAAGTTACATCTGCTTCTTGTTCAAACCAGCCTTTTTTAAACAATCTGATTGAGATTTCAGGAGTGAATAAAGTTGCATGTGGCACGTGGGCTTTTCCTATTGTTTTCCATCAGTATTAAGCCATTTTATAAGTTAAAAGGTTTGTATTATTTTGCTTAAATAGAATAACATAACTAGCTCTTATGATGCCATAGAATGCCATAACTAGCTCTTTCTCTGACTTTCCTTTTTCTTACCAGCTTTCTCAGCATGGACTGATGAACTCCACAAACTTGCACTTCACAGAAATAATTTTTCAAAAATTATTTTTTTTCTGTAGATGAAGGACACTCTTTCAGTGATGTTCTCTATTACGGCAATGAGACAACACTGCTCATCTTTGATATCCTGTTTTTCTCCATTGTGGATCTGGCTTCCCAGAGTTTTGTTTTGGCAGCTATTCTAACATATTTGCAACAAGAGGTAAATTTCAGTTTAAGAACAAAGTAATATTTTAAAAATGTGGGTTAGTATGGAAGTTTGTATAATTAACTAGATAATTAAAGCAGTAAGTTAGCAGTACACGGTGACAGAAGATTATACTGAGAGCTTATAAAATAGTTTTTTGATTTTTTTTTTTGTCAAATAGGCTTGTGAGAAATTAATTTTATTCACATGCCTGTCATGAATAAAGAGGCTACAAATAACTTTCAACGGAAAACACAGATATCTGTTACAATTAATCACACATAATTATATCATATTTCAGGGTGGAAAGATATTGGAAAATGTTTCAAAAATGCTAAAGGGAGTTGAGCATCCAATTCACTCATGTTATTTAAAATTTAAAGATAATATGACGTTATTATTTTATGTTAGGTACTGAAACATACTGGTTTAAGTATTTCTTCATTAATACATTTTTTTTAAAATGTTCTTAGATATTTAGGTTTATTCGTAATACACTTGGGCAGAAGAATTTGGCATCCAAAACCTTGGTGGATGAAAGATTTCTCATTTAATTGAGAAGATGAAGAACTTTGTTGAGGAGTTAATCATGGAAATTATGTCCACGATCAAAGCATCTCAGACCAGCAGATTAATTGTGCACTTTTCAATAATAATAATGTAATGTTTTTGAAATTTTATAATTTTTATATTGTGTGCTATTAAGCTTTATTTTTGTGTATTTACAAATTTTTTTTAAATTTGTGAACACTAAGCCATAGGCCTTTAAAAAAGAAAGGTACATGAAAATAAGACAGAAGTAAACTTACTGTTGCTATTATTAGAATAAGATAAAAAAAAGTGACCGCTCACTTTGAGGTGATAATTTGAGCATTCTGGTTGGCAGGAGAGGTTGTCATCTCTTAATTTTTCTGAAAATCCTTTAAGTCTTTTTTCTTTTTTTTTTTCTTTAATTTATTTTGAGGTATAAAGTTTAGCAAACATATTTCCAGTTTTACACAGCACAGGATTTGTTCTGAATTAAGTTAATATTTCAAGAGGATTTTTTAAAGATCACTTATTTACAGCAACTCCAACTTGAAATTTTAACTTTTCTTTATTGTGTCATAGTATTCTATGCTTTTGTCTCTTCTCTTGGAGTTTATCGTTGTTTTTCTTGGGTGTGGCCTATACGTGACAAAGTTTCCTTGTGTTTGAGATACAGTAGTGTTACAGCAATGCAGAAAAACAGGCTAGTTATGATAGTGCAGGGGAGATGGTTATAGGTATTTGGGGTTTGTTCCTGATCTTCTGTCCTCTGATGCGAGATGCCCAGGGAAATAACAGTAATTCTTCTGTGATGTCTCCACACAAGTGAAATAGAAGCAATTGTTCTTCTCTTTTTAGAAGTGTTTTTACAGGTGCCTATATATGCTCATGTACCTCTGTCTCTCTTAATTTTCTGGCTTTATTATCTTTAGATATAACACAGAGACCATAGTCATTTTACCATCCTCATATTTTTGGAATTTAGACAAGTTAATAATTATTCAAGTGCCACTTATTAAGTGTTAAAGGAGATTATGAATGGCCTTCAAAACACCTTAATGTGAGGTGTGTCTACCTCCCATTTATATCTCTAAAAAGTCTCTATACCTTTTTAAAATTATGTTTTTCAGTAAACGATTAAACATGAATAGTGTTTGCTGTTTTTACAACTGTTACTTGTCTTTAGATGATTCAACAAGGGACTTTCACCAGCAAAAACACCATTAAAATGTAAGTTGAGGTTAGCAAGCTTATTCCAAAACAGAGACTGAGGACATGATTAGTTGGACCTGGCAGATTTCTAATGTAGACATGCTTAGATCTGAGTTGAAGCAACGTTGTATTTCAGATGTTTCTTGGCTTCATAAAGAAGAACATGTTCTCATGTTGATATCATATCATATCATGATATTAAACTTCCAGTAACATGGACATAAATCTCAGGGTCACTATTGCTCTAACGCATTTGCTCTTGGTGTTGCAAAACCTGTGTAGCTTGCTAGTCTGATATAGTTGCTATTAACTGATAGAATGTGTCTGCCAGTAAGGTAGATAACTGAAGAGTGGATTTTCAGTGGGACATCCATTTAATAATATGCAGTTTAGCATGGGCATTTCCATGTGATGCTTTCCTTACTTTTGTCTGCTTATGTGCACAATTCTTAGTTTGTTGGTGCACATTAGGTTCTGGATCCACTAAAACAGCTGAAAATCATATTTCCATTGAGTACCATGACTGTATGACTTCACTAGTTGTGAGTTTTCTGTCATATTTCTTGTCAGTGATCTACTGAGTGCCAAAACTGTAAACTAAGCTAAGGAGCCATCTGAAAAACGGTCTGCAGTAGGACATTTGCAAGGCAAAGTTAGGCTCACATGATGTCTGTGTATTTCTTTGGTCGATATCTTTGCATAGCATAACTAAACTTTCCAGATCTTACAAGTCCTACTGAAATATCAGCGTTACAAGAGGAAATACAATCTTTCTCATGTGACCATTTTTATTCAAGGTGACTGGTGTAACTAAAGAGGTGTAGAAAGTTGCTGTGGTCTGTAAGTGAGCAAGTATGACCCTAATGAATAACCCTAATACAGGTCTTTTCTCACTGTCACTTACCAGCAATAGTACTGTGCATCATTGAAAATGGTAACAGGCAGAAGGTTTTTCTCTGTGTGAATTCTGAGGATGTGTTCATAGTCATGAAGTTATTCTAGGGAACAGAACCACACTTCAAACATACCTCTTCCAGAATGGTCTGATTTATGACCGACTTCAATCAGAATAACTAAAACGTAGTAACCAGACCCAGGTAAACCAGGGAATGTCTGCAAGCAAAATGAAGATGCGATTGTGCCATCTGTAGACACAGACATACAGTTTTACTTAGTCTAGTACCAGCAGAAATGGAGACATCTCAGCATGTGGGCTGTCACTCTGTACCCTATTCTCAATGCTTTTGCTAACCAGGTACACCTTTCCATGCAAAAATCATGCTTTGAGTTTGCTTTAGATATGCCTTTAATTATCTGCTGCCAGAAGGGCATGTGAAAGCTTTAATGACCTTGCAATTTGCAAGAACTACTGCTAGAGGCAACTCTTGTTACAGATAAATGATAAATTAATCTAAAAATGTCATCTCAAAACAGTTCAGTCGGTTGGCCCCTTCTTGCTTCTCGGTGCACACGCTACTCTGTTGTGTTTTATTTTTCCAGGTCATTTATCTAAAATGTTAATATAGCTAACATAGGCACTCTACATGATTTAGGAAATAATTACAGGAGTCAAAAGCTTCAGGAGTTCATAGAAGCTTTTCTTCATTCTTGCTGTCCAGTGAACACTTGAAACGGGTTGACTGCGCTTTGTTCTCGTGTTGCTTGGTATTTGTTCAAGAAATAGCTCTTGTGATTGTATTTCCAACTAAATGGTTTTGCTTTTTTAAAATTAACATGCAGCTACAATGTGTTGTTCATGTGAAGAGTTTCTTTCAAGTTTCTAAATGTTTTATTTAATAACATGGCATTTCAAACTCTCATATCTGTCCCTCTGAGCAATAAAAAAATTTTCAAGGATTGGATAAGTTTTTTTGCACTTGTAAATCAGTTGACCCAAGCCTACAACATGCTTTTCCTTCCATGAACATGAGAGGTTTCAGAGTAGGGCAGGAGGCTGCTACTGGCCCTGCAGTCCAGAGAAGCTCTGTCAGGACAAGCATAAGAAAGGGATTTTGCAGTCGGTGTGGCAACAGAGGGTACAGTTTTGGATAGCCACAACTAGTGGAATGAGATGGTTGCTTTTTGCCAAGCGTCTTGGGGGTTAGATATCAAAATAGTTAATTCCACAAATAATTATAACTTGCATATACAGACAAGGTACACTAATTTCAAGAATATGTTTAAAATTCACAGGTTTCATTTACTAGCGAGGACTTGATTGATTTGTGTTTTACTACAGCATTCATTTTAATGGTAGGGGCGGCTGTGTGTTTGAGGTGAATCGTACCAGAGGTGAGAAGTGCAACTGGCATGACGCTCGGAATTTCACCACACCCATCAGATTGCTGCAGCATGGGCAGCGCGGTGATGCCAAGTTCATGGGGTTTTCTGTTTGTTTTCACCCTGAAAGGGAGTGTCTGAGCAGTAGGTGACAGGGGAGAGTGACACTGTGATATGCTTCTATGAAGATCACGAGTAAACGGGGATGGTGGAAGGAGGTAACTATCAAACCTCTCAAAACCGGTCTCCCTCACCACCCCCTGCCTTCCCCTACGTCTCTTCCTTTCTCTAGCCAGGGTCCCAGTATCGCACCCTTTTCTCCTGTACCTTTTCAGCATTTAAAAGCACTAATCCCCTGTCCCTCTCTCCTGTGCCTCAAGCCGGTGCCTCCGCGTGGTGCCTGCCACGGCCCCGTGCTTCGCCCCGCCGCCTTCAGCTGAGGTGCAGATCCTGCCCCTGCCATCCCGCCCGCGGGCCTGGCAGCAGGGCTCTCCGCTGGGGCAGCTGCTGCCCATCCCCGCTTCCCTGGGCAAACGAGGGAAACGCAGTCTGGCAGGCCAGAGGCTGAGGGGAGGGGGCCTTTGCAGGAGAACGCTGACAAGCTGGGTAGCAATGAATTGCGTGCCAAGGCGTGCCTCGAGGTAGCAGCCCAGGTTCTTTGGTGAGAAGAATGAAAACCCAAACGGCGTCAGAAATCCGTTTAGAAGCATGAAGCGCCAGCTTCCGTGTCTGCCTAAAAGGAAGAAGGAATGAAACCAAGACACCTCCAAACAAACTGCTCTTTGAGCGCTGGCCTCCTCCGGCTTTGCCTCTTTTACTGCCTACATACCATCTCCACCCCAGCACTCCCCGCTTCCTCGTGTGACTCCTACCACGCCACAGCAGGCAGATGACACCTGCTGCAGGTGGCACGGAAAAGCCACCGTCCTCGCTGGCCCACCACCGGCTGCCGAAGGCAGCGGGACTGTGGCTGTCACCCCGCGGGCAGGACGGCCGAGCTGCTGCCAGCCCCCGCGGGCAGGAGCGCGCGGGCGGTTCTGCGCGCCGGTGCCCACAGGGAGGACCTGGATCCACAGATGGGGCTGGGGATCACGGAGCCTGAGGGGCGTTCCCCAGGAAACCCCACGGGAGATGCATTTGCCTCTCTAAGATGAACGTTTCCATCTTATCTTGGTGGAGCTTCAGTAAGCCTTGATGGTCCAGAGCCCTGACCATCTGTATCCCTCTCTGATCCAGACTGCTTTACCAACCTCCTGGTGCTACTTGAGACTTGTCACCCCCTTAGTTTTCCCGGGTGACCTCTGCCACAGCAGGAGTAGCGGTAAGCCTGGCAGCTGGGGAGGGGTGAGGCAGCCCTTGGGGTTAATTAGGAAACATTTTATGTTCAAAGCTCACCTGTGGAAGAGCTCTGCAGCTTGGTGGGTCTGCAGAGATCAGGAGGCAGCACCGCATTAGCTAACGTCGAGAATTTCCCTTTGAATGTTCAGAATTGTTCTTTTAATCTGTGAAAGCTGAGCCCACACCAGACAATCTC